AAAACCCTGATCTCTTTGTGTTCGGGGAGCCTCTTTTCATAGAGGTGTCCCCTTTACTGCTGCGTACCAATAAAGGAATTTTGCTCTGTTTCTCGTGTCCGGTGAAGTTATTGGCAGTCGTCTCCAGGCAAAGAATCCTGTATTGGGTCCAACAATACAGTATTGACTAGAGGTTATTAACATTCTAACGTTTAGATAACTTAGACCTTAAAGACAGAAAACCAGAAAAGGTATTATGTCAGAAGACTATGATTTGAAATGTCAGTGTTAATAAACATAAGATTGTTTAGATTTTACATCCAAAGCTGAATGTAACATTAATAAACAACTGCAAAATATATCAAAATGTTTGTTGTACAATAAAGGTTTTTGTCTTAAGCTGAATACTTAATACTAAGGTCTCCACTGTATTGTTACTTATTATGGTTTCTGTATGTTGAAAAAAAGAAAAAAATGGACGAAGTAAAATAGGCAACGACAGCTAAAAGAAAAAAGGAAAAGAAAAAAGTCTCTTTGGTTTCCAACTTCCCTCTTTTTGTGCTTCTGCTAATTTGAGATGTTTATAAAGATTTAGGTCCCCTTAGAAGCTAAACTGTAAATGTTTATACTGTATTTGCCATGCTGCGTGAATATTTAATACATAATATTTAATACATCTGCTTGATGTACCCAGCTTCAAATAGTATGGAAACACCACCTAAGTTGAATTCTGGAGGCTTGATTATCTGGAGTAAAATAATGTGAAAAGTAGTTCTCACATGGACAAAAGTAAACAACCAGATATTATTCCAAGCCATTTACAAAATACTGTAATGGTAACTTTCATCCCCAGGAGATTGGCTTCAAGATCTTTCTGTAGAGTGCATGGAAGAAAGAGGCTCAAGACATTTGAAAACTGTTTATTTTAAATACAGTCACAGTGACTGGAATTCTCTTCTGACTGCTGCATAGCTGCATAGCTTTCCTGCAATAGATCTGCTTAGCTGAGACTTCATGTCCTTGGAAATATATTCTCCAGTGTGGTTTTTGCTTGCTTTAGCTCTCTTAAATCCAAGGATAGAGAAATTGCCTAATGAAAGATTCGATTCTAAACGGCCAGAGCTAGAGAGAGCTGTATTTAAAATCAACAAATCAAAAGGGTCAGAATGCAAATGCATCATCTGTAACTAGGCAACCACTGTAAACAGCCAGAACCAAAGTCATTTGAAAAGCTGTGATGCCCAGCAAGTTGGATTTTTGAAATAATTAATTTGTAAGGTAAATACAAGGATTTGCTTCCTTCATAACTACCTATAAAATATTTAACTGGAATTATCCAAATTATTATTTTAATAGACTAGAAATTCTGAATTTGTTGAATTTATGCATAGCTCCTAGAAAAACGTAAGAGTCTGTAAAGTTCCTTTTCTGATTTATCAAAACAGATGAACAGTCACAGTGGCCTGTATTAATTTAATGTAGGTGCTTGCAAATACTCATAGTGAAAATGAATATGGTATCCTATGAAAAAGGTTATTGTGTAAGTTCTTCTAAACAGGAAATGAGAGGGTGAAAAAAGCATAAATGAAGGACATACTGTGTTGTTTGACTCCATAAAGATAATATTAAATGCAACTGAGGATCCTAAGCAGCGCTTTATTAGCACAGGCACGGTGCTCCTTCAGAACCAGTTTCAGGACTTGAAGTTGGCTCTCCTGGACTAAGCATTGTTGGAAAAATGTATTACAGTCTCTGGGCTCATCCTCAAGTCCTGCTTGCCACAACCTGAAACACCTTACTAACCATTGGGGGTGGGGGCTCTTTTTCAAGGCCATGTTAATGTGTGGAGTGTGTTCAAAAAGTCAAGATGGTGACTGTGATGATGCAATCAAAGTGCCATCCCCATAAAAAACAATCAGAGCTTTGATTGTCCCACCAAAGGTTTACTTGCATCATTGTGACTGTGCCAGCCCCACTACATAGACCAGACCAAGAAATCAACTGCACAGAAAGCTAAAACTATTTTTATTAAGATTGGTTATCATAACAGAATCTTGGAAGTCTGACTGTGCTTTACTTACCCCCACCCCACCCCCACTCATGTGAATTAGGGAGGTGTCTGCCTGAGTCTTTTCCACATAGCTTCTTTTTGTTTTGGACTGAAGCCATGTTTTTCCCCTTGTCGCTTTGGCCTATCTCTGCCAAGATCATCTTCCTTACTCCCTGCAGACTGCCATCTTGACTTTTGTGACCATACCTTGGAGACACACCAGTTAATGTGCTTTCCTTCTGTGCCCAAATCAGCAGGAGAATGTAGCAGCATAAACGGTGCACCTCCCCACGGCCTACTTCTGCTGAGCCTCAGCAGTGAGGCTGGGCACTGTTGCTACTTTCACACCATTTAATTTATTTTATTTATTTATTTATACATTCGATTTATTTATTGTCTGCCCATCTCCCCCCAATGGGGAACTCTGGGCGGCTCACAAAGTACATATCAACAATTACAATTCTACAATTAATTACGTTATGTGACCGGCAGGGGTCGCTAGGGGGGCATTCGGGCGTTTCCACC